TTCGAGATTATTGCAATCTACGGGCATGCAATGCGTTTATTGTATACCGAAAAAATTGAATACACTAATCAAACGTGTCAAAGATCCTTTGCCCTTAAAAGAAAAAACAGGAGTTGTATACAAAATTAACTGCGCAAATTGTTCCTCATCATACGTCGGTCAGACTAAACGACAATTAGGCACACGCATAAAAGAACATTTTAATAACATAAAGGTACACAATAGTAATTATTCGGTTATTAGTAATCATAAATTCGATAATGGTCATGATTTTGATTGGTCCGCTCCTGAAATTTTACATCATGAGAAATATGTACGAAAAAGAGAAATCGCGGAGATGTTTTTTATCAAAAAATTTGACAACACAATCAATTTACAAAAAGACACGGATAATCTAAATATTGTTTACGATAAACTAATAAAGGTCGTTTAGTGTGATCGAAGTAATGAGTATATAAAGAGCTTGTAACCAACACAATAATATAGTTAATTGTTTCACATTACATATATCATGTCACATTTTAAGATCAGAAATTAAGTTTATATATAGAAAGTTGTGTTTAAGGTAGGATACATATTAATGTGTGGAAATAATTATTGTTACTCAGTTACTTTTTAATTAATTTTTAATTTTAATTTTCTAATAATTGTCATTATTATAATTTGTAGCACTTGATAAGGGCCAAAACCCATGGCCGAAACGTCGTGAATATTAAATAAAGATATATTAAATAGCCAGAGTTGGTTGATTAAATTACTACCATTTTTAATAATATATCATATATAAGTGACAGGCAATACAAAATCTTAAATCAGGAAGAATGTAAATGTAAAATATTTTAAAATATACCTATTTCTTTGTCGCACCAGTGAGAACACTATTATGTTGTGTATATAAATAAAGTTGCGACAATATTTTTTTGCAGCGCTGTAACAAAATAAAAGTTACAAATAAGAAAAAGAAACAAAAATATGAATATGATTTGTTGTCTATCATTTTGATACATCTTTGATTCATTATTAGTTGCCTATGTTTGTATTACTTTGATCATGTATCGAAGACATACTATAAGACTAATAATACATCAAAGACACATATAAGCGACAGGCAATAAAAATCTTAATAAATCAGAAAAAAGTACATCTAAATTATTAAAATATAATACCTATTTCTTTGTATATACAATATATATGATTTCTATTACTTTTATCACATTTTACTTTATTATATATTAGCTTCCTCTATTGTTTAATTGTATTATACTTTGATAAATGCATCAAAGACATATTTTGGTACATCATCATCAATATACGAAAAGGCTAATATTAGAATAAATGTACCAAAATAATATGCATGCATATTAAGGAACAGGAATGCAATGAGAAATAAAATAGATTAGACTAAAAAGAAAGTATATAAAATGTAAAATGTAAGTTCACGATAAAACAAATCTGAAGTTTAAGGTCGATTGCACCAACATTATTTTGGCTTTAAGTCTTGCTTAAAACCAAAATATGTCTTTCTTTATTTAAAAGAAACATAAATAAGATTAACATATACATATTGTTATAAGAGTTTTTAACAAGGCTCTGTAATATAAATATAAATTTAACGTATAAGAAGACGGGCA